TTCTCACTCTCTCTCTCTCTCTCTGTCCCTCTCTGGGCAAATTTAAATAAATAAAGTTAAATAAACTAATTCTTTAAAAAAGTAGTTTCCCAGACCTAGCCTCAAATTTACAATCATGCGAGTCCAGTTCCAGCTGTCAGCCAAAACTTTCTTACTTTACCCTAACTGATCAAATCCACATCCTATTTATTACCGCGCCTTGCAACCTAAGTGTAATTTACTTGTTGCCCTCGAACGGATCAGGCATAAAGGCTGGTGCCATAAACACAAAAATGTAAAGCCATTCATTTGACAAAAAGAGCACGTGCTTTGAGTGCCTACTAAGTGCTAGACAGCAGGGATGTAGATGTATATGTTGTTAGGCCGAATTAGCAAAATCACCGCCATGTTAGGGAATGCTGGGGAAGTTAGCTTAATCACTACCCTGTTGAGTTTTCAGGGACGGAGCCCACTTTGTTAGGGCCTCAAGGACGGGAACCAGGAGTCTGGGAACTCTCAGATAAGTGGAAAACGGGAGGGCCCAGCACCTCCGAGGCAAGGTCATCCAAATCCTTAGCTGAGAGCCCTTATCTAGACCTGAGCAGGTGGTGAGAGCTGGACCCTCGCTTCTCATACCCCCCCTTCCTTTGTGTGTTACAGTCTAGAGAACATCCTGAACTATAAAAGATCCCTTTATCTTAGGCTCGGGGTCCTTGTGAAGGCCCGCTGCGACGGGCTGAAACTTGGACCCCAGCTAGCTGGAAAAATAAAAGCCTCTTTTGCAGTTGCATTGTCGCTGTCTTTTCTGTGTCTCCATCAGTTAGACCGATCTCTGGACCCTTACAATGTGAATATCACAGACAGGGGACTGCTTCTTAAAGATGTTTAAGGCATAGTGGGGGAAACTAGTTAGGTGGGCAACCAAATACATGAAATAAGCACAGGGTCAGCCCTGTTGCCTAACGGTCAAGGGAGCTGGATCCCACATGGCCAACTGTAGCTTAAGCTCTAAACTCTTTTTTAAGTATTATTTCTTTTTAGAGATTTTTGCAATAGGTCACATACACTTGCCAAAGAGACATAGAAAAACTGAGAGACAGAAAGTGAGAAATCACCCCCCCCCAACGGGGATGGCCACGTCACAGTCCCTTCCCTTCCATTCTCCTCTCGGAATTTTGGGCGCACGCACACATGCATCTGGCGTGAGTTTAAGCCACCAAGTCCAGGACTCGAACCACAGTCGACTATGTGGGAGTCCAGTGATGTAACCATTATACCACCTGCTGGTCCCCTGCGGCTTAAATTCTGCCCACCTGCTAGACAAATGCTCCAGGTTCTTGTGCACGAATGCCCCAAATCCAGACAAGATGGAGAAATACAGACAGGATTGCAAGGTCCTGACCATGCCCCCTTAGGGAGTGCATTCTCTCTCAATCTAACAAGCGAATGTGCCTGACAGCAAACTAAAAAAATAAATGTTTGCTGTTTCTGGTTCCTTCACAATCACTGAATATTTTCTCCAATGTCATAATGAGGAAGCTACACACATGGCGATCAGTGGATGATCAGAAAGCATTTTCTTACACAGGGTACGTTTGTTTGGTAATTGCCTATTTCGATGATGCCCCCTAAGAGCATGCAGTTTATCTTTGTGGGGGGAGAGGACAGCCCGGCTTTAATCCTATTCCCGAAAGGCTACTTTGGGATACCTAGGAATTGATGTACCAGTAGGCTGGCCCTGGGGAAGGGACTGGAAGGATTTGTAGGCAGTTGGAAAGTTCTTGCACTACGTCTGCATAAGTCCTTCCTTTCACGTAGAAAGGGTTTAAAGTCCAGAGCTGAATGACTAGGAGAGAAATCCTGCTCAGCGGTTCTCAACAGGGAAGCCCCCTACAGGCATGTCAGACGCAGGTCGGAAGGGATGTTCTGGTTCTGGGGTGCACTACAGGCAAACAGCAGGCAGAGCCAGGGGTGCTCTAGGAAATCCTGTGCTAGTACCAGCAGCATCCCTAGTGGCCTGTGACCCCTGCTGGTTGGAACTGGCAGCCTGTGGAGATGCCTGAGTAACAGCCATCTAGATCCCAGGCACTGGGGGAGTCCCTGGAGACCAGAACACAATCCAGGGGCTGGCCAGAATCCCCTCTGCTGAAAACGGGCAAGGTGCAGCTCGCTTATCATTAGGACATTACTCGATCTCGGGGCTCAGTGGAGTCTCAGTTGCTCAGCTCCTTCAATCCCGAGAGTGCTGAGAGGACAATGGTTTCTGGGCGCAGAGCCACAGGACTGCACGTTGTAATAAAACCTCTCTGGCTTGCCATTGCGGGTCACAGGGAGCCTGGGACTCATCCTCATCCAGCTCCGAGTACTCGGCCTCTGGCCATTCCTTGGGTTTGGGGTGCACTGCGTGTCTCAGTGCACTGTCCAGGTCATATTGGAAGCCCCCCCCCGCCGTAGGGCTCCCCTTGGCATGTTCCTTGCTAAAGTCCTTCTTTTTTTTTTTTTAATAACTTTTTAAAGATTTATTCCATTTTATTTACTCATTCATTTTTATTTTAATTTGACCAGAGAGAGAGATGGAAAGCGAGAAAGCAAGCTACTAGGTCTGGGACTCGAACCGGGGTTAGCTATGTGGGAGTGTCCAGCACCTTAACCACCATGCCACCTGCTGGTCCCCTAAAGTTCTTCTTGGCACAGGCCCAAAGGCTCAACTCCTGGTCCTTTCTCAACTTGACTGTGAGGATGTCATCCTGCTCCACGCAGTCATTGGGGCCTTTATCTCAGTTCCACCGTGTCACTGGAATGTCTTGGGGGCTGTTGGAGATGAGGTCCCTAGATGTGACATGACGGGTCTGGTCTTCATTGCATCACACTGGAGGGTGAACTCCCCCGAGCACTTGGGGCAGAGCTCTTTACACGGCAGGCCAGGAATACTCAGCTTGTCCAGTGCCCTCCTAGTGAGTGAGGGAGATTAAGCCACCCAAGTCTGTGAGCAATGGACTCATGAGGGACTGAGGAATTGGCACCAACCTGGACCCAGTCGATGGCTACTATGGGAACCTCGGCGATGAAGACCCTCCAAATAGAATTGGCCATGGCCAGGTCCGCATTCTCGATGATGAACTTCACGCTCTCATCCGTGAGCTCTGTGATCCGCACGGTGGGCTGGTTAACAAATGGCATCATGTCCCAGGGCCCACCCTGTGTGTTTTTTAATTATTTTGCTTAACTTTACTTAATTTGAGCAGAGAGGGACAGAGAGAGAGAGAAAGTGAGAAAGCAAGCCACCAGGTCTGGCACTTGAACCATGCGCCATGTGGGAGTCCAGCGCTGTTAACCACCATGCGACTCACCAGCCCCATAAATAAAATAATTTTAAAAAAAGATTAATTTTATTTAGGCCAGCAAGTGGCGGGTGGTTAAGGCACTGGACTCCCACATGGCCAACTACAGTTCAAGCCTTGGACCTGGCGGCTTGCCTTCTCTCCCTCTCTCTCGTCAAAGTGAAAAACAATTATACATAAAATAAAATATTTTTAATTTTATTTATTTTTATTTACTTATTTTAATTTGACCAGAGTGGGACAGAGCAAGAGAGCGAGAGAAAGAGAGGGGGAAAAGTGAGAAAGCAAGACTCCAGGTCTGGGACTTGAACCACAGATGGCCATGTGGGAGTCCAGTGTTCTTAAACACTGTGCCACCTGCTGGCCCCAATAATTCTTTTTAAAAAAAGATTAATTTTATTAATTACTAATATATTTTTAAATTTGCTGTAGGGAACATGCACTAGCCAGAGGGGGGAGGGGGAGAAAAGGTTAAGGTAAGCTCCCAGGTAGGGACTTGCCATTTACCAAGTGCGAGGCTAGCACCTTAACCACCATGCTACCTGCCGGCTCTACGCAACTTTTATGTTAAAAACATAAACTTCTGGGACCAGCAGTTAGCATAATGGCTATGTCACTGGACTCCCATGTAGTTGACCACGGTTCGAGTCCCGGATCCGGTGGCTTAAACTCACGCCGGGCACGTGTGCGTGCGTGCCCAAGATCCTGAGAGGAGAATGGAGGAGAAGGGATTGTGATGTGGCCATCCCCCCTGGGGGGTGATTTCTCGCTTTCTGTCTCTTTATTTCTCTGTCTGGCGAGCGCACATGCCCTATAGCAAAAACCTCTCCAGAAAAAAAAGAAAAAAAAAAACATAAACTTCTTACGGAAATGAAGCCTTGCCCCAAATCGCACAAGGACCTTCAAGCTCACCTTCCTCATCACACTAGTTGGAAAGTCTTGTAAGCTGGGGAGGGCCTTCCCCTCCAGGGCTCAGAGAACCAGGGAAGCAGAGACACACCCAGAGGCCTGAAGGGCCGCATAGACCTGACACCCGTGGCAGGTTCTGGGAAGGTGGGACAATAGGCATTTCTCCTCTAGGGGCAGGAAGTTATGGGATTTATCTAAAGAAAGAAAGAGCACCTTGTTCCGCAAGATCGTGGTAGGGACACCTACACAGTTCACTTAGCATCATACAAAAACCATCTATAGTAGTTTACTTCCTTTTTAAAAACAATGATCTATTTGACTTTATTCATTATTATTATTAAACTTGACCAGATAGAAATAGAGAGCAAGAGTGAGAAAGCAAGCCAGCAGGTCTGGGACCTGAACCTCAATCCATCCTGTGGGAGTCCAGCACCTTAATCAACAAGTCACCTGCCGGCCCCGTAATAATTACTTCTACTCGGCCACTTCCTGACCCAGCCTTCAGTCTCTCAAACCCATATCACGAACCGCGCGGGCTGATTCTGTACCTAAGAGATTAGATTTCCGCTTTCCCGGCCTCAAACTTGCTCCCCGCTCACGGGGCACACATCCGGGGGCCTGGGGGCGTGGCCTTGGGGCGGAGCCTAAGTGCACACCCCAGGCCGCGCCCACGCGACGGCGTTCACCGATCTGCACGCCGAGTCCGACCGCCAGAGGTCGCAGACTGCGGGAACCTGTTTCTCGCAGAGCGAGTGTCCGCCCCGTCAGGCCCTTCGTTCTCGCGAGAGAAAGCGCGAGGCTTGCCGGGAGGGATGCGCGGCTGTCCACAGGTTTGCCCAAGATGGCAGCCCTGGAAGAGGAGTTCACGTTGTCTTCGGTAGTCCTGAGCACCGGGCCTGATGGACTCCTAGGCGTGGAGCAGAGTGACAAAACAGACCAATTTCTAGTGACGGACAGCAGCAGGACCGTCGTCCTCTATAAGGTGAAGAAGGTGGCGCGGGGCGCCCCGGCTGGCGTCTCGTGTCTTTCCGAACGAGTACCGGAGACTCGGGTCTCTCGCCGCTCCCCAACGAGATGGTGGAGCTGGCTGAGCGGGGCTTGGCGTGGCCTGTCCCGGACAGTAGATTTGGCCCGGGTCCTGGCGCGGTCGGTTTTCTGGAGGGACGATCTCTGAGTTGCGGGCGGCAGAGCGTCTGCGTGCACGTGGGCAGGACTCCGAAAGGAAAGGGAACCTGTGCTTTCCGTGGAACGGCCCGCGGTGTCCTTGCCGAGATTCCCCCCCGGGACTCTCACCCCAGCTGGCCGCAGAGGGGTGCGGCGGGAATTTGGTTGGGGGGAGAGATGACACTGACAGGGTGGGAACTGATTTAGCCCTGTGTCTGTACGCTCCCTCATCCTCTCCTTGGGAAAAGCACTTTGGGGAGAGAGGGGTTTTCTTGGTGACTTGTTGAGAACCGTGATTCCTGATGTCTCCTTGACAACCCTGGTTCTCCCGGGAAATCTGCACGCCCCGCCCTCTCCAGCCTAGCTTTTGTTTGTCTTCCCGTAGAAAGTAGTTCTTTTTATCCAGGCTGCCGAATACATACTTCTCCGCATCTGAAAGAAGTTAGCGGTCTGCTTGGAAGTTTTGGCAACACGTTGCCAACAGTTTCTGTCATTTTTGTTTTGACTGGTCAGCTGTTGGTCTCTACCTGGGCGGTCAAATGTGTTTGCCATCTTGCAGTTCCTACGTAAGAATACTGGTTGGAATTAAATAGACAGGTCTTGTCTATCCCTGTTTAATTTTGCGTGCCCCTGCATATTGGCATCAATTTTTACTTTTTTTTGGAGAGATTTTTGCTATAGGGTGTGTGCGTTCGCTGCAGAGAGAAGGCAAGGAATCACCCCTTCCCACTCCCAGAGGGAATAGCCACGCACAATCTCTTCTCTTCGACACGCAGACACACGCACCAGCTTGAGTTTTAAGTCAAGGTCTGGGACTCAACTACAGTGGACTACGTGGGAGTCCAGCAGTGTAACCATTATACCAACTGCTGGTCCAGGAATTACTTTTTAAAATATACTACTGGTTATTAATGAATAAAAGATTGTATTTACTTACCTATTTTTAATTTTAGGAACTGAGTTATATTTTCTTTATTTTTTTTTTGGAGAGGTTTTTGCTATAGGGCACATATGCTCACCAGAAATTCAGAGAGAGACAGACAGAAAGTGAGAAATCACCCCTGGGGAGATAGTCACTCCACAATCCAGTTCCTCCGTCTTCTCCAATTCTGCTCTCGGGATTGTGGGCACTCATGCATACACGCCTGGTACCCGGTGTGATTTTTCAAACCACCTAGTCCAGGACATGAACCACAAAGTCAGCCATGTGAGATCCAGTAGCCTTAACCTCCAGGCCACCTGGTGGCCCATGTCTAATCATGTACAGCTTGGTAGTTTTAAGTACATTCACAGTGTTGTACCCACTTTTCCCTTTGGAGAACAAGTTCTGTCCCCATTAACGGTAAATTCCCATTTTCCCCGACCCCTGACAACCATCATTCTTTTTGTCTCTACAGTCGGACTGCTTTACCTACTTCATATCAGTGAAATATACAGTGTTTGCGACTACTTTTTATTTAATTTAAGAAATTTGTTAGATGCTATTCTGTTAATGTTTTTTGGTTTTGATTGTAAATTTAATTGCTTTTACTGTCTGAAATTGTCTTCTTGAATATTGTGTTTATCTTAATTTCATTAGGTTTCTGATCAGAAACCCTTGGGCAGCTGGTCCGTGAAACAAGGTCAAGTTATAACAAGTCCAGCTGTGTGCAATTTTCAAACTGGAGAATATATTGTTGTACATGATAATAAGGTAAGTTTTTTTTCATATTTATTTTTTTTATAATTTGTTTATTTTTACATTTTTCCACAGATGATAATATACTTTTTTTGAGTTATTCTTTTATTTGTTTGTTTATTTTCACATGAGTTTTGCCAGAGAAAGACAGAGAGAGAAAGAAAAAGAGAGAGAGAGAGAATGAGAAAGCAAGCCACCAGGTCCAGGACTTGAACCACAGTCAGCCATGTGGAAATTTCAGCACCTTAACCGCCATGCCAGTTGCTGGCTCCAGATTTTAAAGCTTTTATGTAATATATAGAACACAAATGCTGACTTATTACCCATTTGAGTTTATTACCTATAAATCAATAAAGAGATTTTTTTCTTTTTTTTAAGATTTTTGCCATAGAACGCGTTTGCCTGCCAGAGAGAGAGGGAAAGTGAGAAATCAGCCCCTGGAGCCGATGGCTGCGCTGCAGTCCCTTCTCCTCCATTCTCCTCTTGGGATTTTGCACATTCATGCACATGTGCCTACTGTGTTCCTCAAAGCTACTAGGGAGTCAGCCATTAGGATATGGTGCCTCAGCCACCATGCCACCTGCTGGCCCAAAAGAAGTTTGTTTTTGTTTTTATTTTTTTTGAGAGGTTTTTTGCTATAGGGTGCATGTGTTCACCAGAAAGACAGAGAGAGACAGAAAGCGAGAAATCACCCCCCAGGGGAATGGCCACGCCACAATCCCTTC